CTCTGCATGGAGATCAGCTGATCAGCTGCAGGAGGAAGCTTATCCTTAAGTGTGGGCTGCACACAGGTGCAGCAGGTGCTAAATCATTTAAAATAATTGATTTTAAATAAAAAATCCATTCCATCATGCGGCTCATCCATCAATTAGCCAGTTGTGTGTCATGCCCAATCTTACTTTGAAAACCCGGAATAGAGCGAGTCCACAAGAAACAAACGGCAAAGTAGCGAGGGACTACTGTATACATAAATTATAGGAACTTCCTGTTTTGTGGAGAACCATAAACCTTTGCCGTCCTGCTGCACCCACATTATTTGATGCAAACTGAAGCTTTTGATTAACTGACCAAGTTTAAAGCTAATATGTTAAAATCTGTGTGTTTGTTAAAAATGTAAGAGTTGAAACAGAATAAATTTCCAACTAAATGTGAGCTTCTGTACAATTTTGATCAATTTTCTCTTGGCTCTTTCTAGTCCAGTTTTCTTGAGGTCATTGTCTTCCTGGAAGGTGTCACTTTGCCCAAGGCAAAGTGTTACTGCAATCTGCTTTATGTTTTCTTCCACAAGCTGAGCGCAGGGCTTTTTTTTCTGTGATGCTGTTTTCTTTGACAAGGTTGCTTAGTCCAGTGGCTTAGGTAAAAAAACAAAACAAAGCAATGCATTCTCACCATGAGCAAAACCACAAGAAACATTCTTTAGGTTTAACGTTCTCTTTGCTATTGTGGAACTAAAGATTGCTTTTATTCCCTAAAAGCAATTGTAGTTACTTTTTGAAAAGGCTTGAAAAGCTTTTGTTTGCCTGAGTTGAGGAGATCCCATTTCCTAGGGTTAATCCTACCTCAATTACTTAAGCTGATTTTTACCATTTGCATGCCTAAGCTGAATTTAAAGACGTATACTTGTGGGCAGCACAGTGTTGTTACACTTGACACTATTTATTTTGTCTTTCTGGGTTTTAGTGTTAGTACTTTTTCAGTACATCAGTGGAAGACCTCAAATGAAGCTGACCTAAATATTATTCCAGCTGTACATTTTATTCTTATCCTTCAGTAAATCAGTGTTTTTTTATGGTATGTTGATTCTGACCAAAGTCATTGCCTTGATAAAATTATTATCTGTTTGTGTAGTTACTTTTTTAAATTGCACATGAGCAGCTGACTTTGTGTAGTAAGTAAAAAAAAATGCTGTTTTATTTTAATCACTGAGAGTTCAAACATTTTTTAATTTATTGGTTCAGAGCCCAATGCTCCCTCTGGGTTGGAGGTTTTGCCTGAAGCAGATGAGTTAAAGTCATTGGTGTGAGTGATGGCAGGATGGAGGAAGAGATGGATTTGATGGATTGGGGTCCTAGTCAACTGTAATGATGCCACTGTTTTGGTCTGTTGAGGTGAAGGAGATGAGGTAAATGGCAAAGCTCCCAGTTTACTGGTCTATTACCTCCTATGCATTGTAATGCCTGGTCCAGCCTGGACTGGCCACAGTCTTTCCCAGTTCTGGTTTTGTTTGCTTTCATCAAAGTGCCACCTGGATGTGCACGGGATCCTCAGATTTCAGTTCAGCCAAACCTGCACTTCGTCGTTTATCCAGAGCACTGGTGCTATCTTTTGCGTTGCCATTTTTCCAAAGAAAAATGGGAGCTCTTTCCGTCACAGCTGATCAGATGAAAGTTGCTGAAGTAAATGGCAGTAAGGAGCCGCCGCTGGATGTACGAGTCATCTGTGACGTAACCACCCGGGCCAGCGAACCAGTCAGTGGCCAGCAGTCTGCTGATGTCATATCTGTAACATCAGCCCAGCTCGAATGAAACATCAGGTCTATGGGTTCCAGAAATTGAGCTGGAACTGGGCCATAGTGCTCAATGCCAACACTCAAAACCCAGGAACCTGAGTCGGGTCAGTCCAGGCTGGTTCAGGCCTTACGATGCATAAGGGTCATATAGTCTGCCACATACAATTATGAGCTATGGATCATGACTAAAAGAACAATATTTCAGCTACAAGCAGCTGAAACTATTAAAGCTTCCTCCTTCGGGTGGCCAGGCTCAGCCTTGAGCTGGATTTATACTCCATGAAAAGTTAAGCAGTCTGCTCTTTCTGACGTAGCAGAGAAACATTATTTTCTGCAGGAACATTTTATACTCCACGAGAAGCCCCAGTGCCGGTCTCCAGGAAGCCTCTGCCACCGCAGCACGCCATTGTGGGACGCTGACGGAAACACAGCGACCACATTTTGAGGAAATTGGTTGTGTTCTCTGTGACGTTCACAGAAATAGATTATTTTCAGCGGATGGAGACAAAGTAGAATAACATCTTATTTCAGGATACCAGCCGTTGTTTTGATGGTGGTTGAGTCACATCATCCAGTTAGCTGCACCCACTCATAGCATGCCAGCTACTGCCCTGGAGAGATTAGTGGTCATGCTACAAATATTGGATCTTCAAAGCTAATGTTAGCTCTCCCAGCTGCTAATACTTTTAGGGCATGTTTGCCGAGTAGCCCACGGAACAGCGTGGGAGCATTAACCACCCTTCACATTTCTGGCTTATCACACAATACTTCATTCAATCCCCTCAAAGACAAAAAACGGTTCTGCCCTGATGTTGTATTGAGACCAGGCTCATGGAGATCTTAGAAGAACAAAATGATTTTATTTTAGTCTTACAGCAGCATCATAGAGAACATATTTCTTTACTTCTTGCAGAGTGTAAACCCAGCTTTAGAGGAGGGAGGGGCCTAAAGTACAGCCTCTGCTTTTCCACAGCACAAGGAGTTTTTGTTTGGACATTGGATGTCTCATGGGTGCCTCCTTTTTGGAGGTTTCCTGGACACATTCACAGGGATGAAACGGGAATCTTCTCTGGCCTGGGAACATCGTATCCCCTAAGAGGAACTGGAGAGTTGCTAGAAAGAGAAACGTCTAAGTTTTTATTTATGCATTTATTTTTTATTTATTTTGGATCTGTTGCCTCTGCAATACAATCATATAATAATAATAATAATAATAATATTAATAATAATAATAATAATAATAATAATATGGGGGCCGAGATGGTGTAGAGGCAGGGCAACCGGCTCGGGGCCCAAAAGTCCCAGGTTCGATCTCTGGTCACTGCACACCTTGTGGTGTCTCTGGGCAGCACACCCCATCCCCAAAATGCTGTTAATGCTGCTAATTTTGCCGTTGTATGGAAACATACAGTGATGACAATGTGTAACATTATTATTATTATTATTATTATTATTGTTATTATTATTATTATTATTAATACATTTATGGATAAACTGAAATGAATGTATGGTCCAGACTCTAAAGAAGTAGTATTTTTGCACATCACATTCCCTACTTTTAAGAGTTTGTCCAAACATCTTCAATTGCTTCTTCTTTGTAAATCTAGTGCTTTGTCGTGCGCATGAATAATAAACTCCTGTGAATCACAAACACAAAAAGTTGACTACCGGAACATAAATTGATCATCAGCTACCCTAACTTTTAAACATCTTCATTGGAGTCTGGCTTTTAAATAAGTCACAAAGGGTTGTAATTAAAATATGTTGCTACAAAATGGGACACTCCTTCAAGATGCTTGTCCATCATCATCAGTTGAAGATTTATTTTATGTAACAGATGCAACAGTTTTTGTGAAATTCTAAAATGACATGTTAGCGTTGTCTAGCTTAGCACAGACTTTTTTATGCAAGAGGTGAAATTGTGTTCACCTTTAGAGTTCTCTTGATTTATTATTATTTATTTATTTTGCAGTGTCCTCTGACGCACCTGTATGTTGGTACCAGCTCAGATTCATCAAGTTCTGCTAATCTTACGATCCTTCAAAAAACAACAGGTTGAAAATATCCTACTCCCTGCAGAAAACTTTGCCATGGCACCTTCCAGCAAGACACAGATCAAAAACATAGTCATGAAAACGTAATCAGTTTTGTGCAACTCTAATAAATTATTATATGGGTGAAAAATCTACAGACATTTACAAATCTTTGACACTGACAATTAATCATCCACAAGATAAGTTGTGCCTTGCTGCTGGTTTCATAATGGTCTTGTCATGTCTTTATAGAACTTTTAAGTAATGGAGACTCTTGTTTGAATGCCAAAAAGCCCATTGCTTGAACAGAACAGATGAATGTGTCTAAAAGAGGTTACAGATAGGAAACAAGAGGGGGGTGGGGTGAGGAGAAAGAAGGCAGCATATGCTAATGAAAGCATGTGCAGGGAATGGTGAGAGCCACAGCAGTGCTACCCTGAGCACATGGCGGATCTGTGAAAAGGTCATCGGAGCGGATTGGGGACGAGGGGGCCTCCCAGGCTGGGTAGACTTTCTCTCTTCTCGTCTGCATCCCTCCGTCGTTCAGCCTTCCTCAGTGCAGAGGTGGTGAGCTGATAATCGGGGCGGTAAAGCCTTCTCATTCCCTCGTCTCGGTCTCTAATGAAGTCCCCGCTATTAAAGCTCTATAATTCTGCTGTTCCTCAGAACATCCCACCTCTTCCCTTTCTTATTTCCTTCCTTTGCTCACGACTTTCTTCATCCCGTTCTCCGTGTCGGCGGACCGTCCTTTCCCTCAAGCCCTACCCCCTCACTTCTCCATCCTGGTAATCATAATTGAATAACTCTGGGTAAATGAGGAGAAAGTCTCCTGAATGAGAGCAGAACGGTCACACTCGGCCCTCAGTGCATCAATCAGGGGGTCTGATTGAAAAGAGAGAGTGGGGGGGGGTTAGAATGGTGTCACCTTGCCGATAACTCCCTGCCTCCTTTTAGATGCAAATGAGCACAAAGACAATTAAATTTTATAGAAAATTAGAGGGAGACGAGCTCCTAAATGAAGGGTTGGGGCTTCTACGACGGCTCACGAACGATGATGCTCAAACAGCCAAGCTGCTTTGACACGGATGTCAAAAGTCACACGTGTGAACAGCAGTTTATCAGCATAGACTCGTGCTCACAGTTCAGTTAAACACACAAAAAGCTATCTTTGGGGTCTGTTCTCACATTCAAGCAGCTAATGCAGAAATAGCTGCAGGCGGCTGTTGCGTTGCGTTTCATATTAGGCAAGCTGCAGATGAAATATTGATATGTTGTTGCAAAAGGAGGAGACGGGCTCCTAACAGCATGACGCCTCTTATTTACTGTCGGCAGGTATCAGAAGCTGTGGAAGAGTTATGTGAAACTACGTCACCTGCTGGCCAACAGCCCGAAGGTCAAGCAGATGGACAAGCAGAAGCTGACACAGAGAGAGGTGGGTCGACGGAAAAAAAGGCTAACCTCGATGTTTCTCACGCGTTTACATCTCCAGGCGCTTTGTTTGTTTTCATTACAGTAAGATGCGTTTTCAGTTTGAATACTGTGAAAGCTCATGCCCTGCGGATAGAAGAGATTCCTCTGAAACATGACATCATTTTAAGCTGTTAAAAAGAAGCTGTTAAATGGTTTTTATTCCTGCTGTGTACACTAATAATGCTGCATGTCTGCTATTTGTGCAAGGCAGCAGCTATTGCCTGATAAGAATACTGCTGTAGAAATGCAGAAAAAGAAACATCGTTATATGGATTTGTAGATTTTTTTAAACTTTAATTTTAACATTTTATTTATTTTTATTAGGTGTACTTTTTTATCAGCTAACTGCTATACAGAAGTTCCTCGGTTATCGCGGGGGTTACGTTCCAGACACCACCGTGTTAGGTGAAAAACCACAAAGTAGGAATGCTACATTTACTGTAGTATTTTTATATAATTTAAGGCTTTATGTATGAAATGTTCTTAGCAATGTTCTAAACTCTTAAACCTATGTAATTTATACAACTATATGGGTACTCACCAGCTCTGGAGACCAGTAGCTCGGTTTCTGTCGGGCTCCGTTCTGGTTCGGCAGACTTACCCTGCAGCGATGAAGCCCACCACCCTGTCCATGTTGATGTGCACGTGGATAATTGAGCTTCAGGATTATTTACGACTTTCCTGCCAGTTCTGTGAGCTTAGTGTAGATCATTACTTCTGACTTTACGTTGCAAAACTTTCCCTCCATTGCAGCAGAAAGCAGCAGCCAGAAGAACTACACTTCCCAGAAGCACTGTTGGCTTCTGGGAAGTGTAGTTCTTTTGACTGGCATTACAGTGTAGGTTTATTGAAAGAAAACTACAAAATGGTGGCGCTTGTCCAAAGTATTATTATTTTTCGTTAACTTATTGTCCCGTACCATCCTAATCATGTGAGTAATATTGAAGTTGACAATTGTGTATCGTGTACAATCTTGCGTTGAAAAACCGCGAAAGAGCGAGTCTGCTAAAGTCGAACCGCAAAGTAGCAATGGACTACTGTATTATTATTTTATTAAATATTCATTAAGGTAGTTTAGAAATAACTGATAACATCTATTGTGAAACAAATGTGAAAGGAATTGCTTTTTGCTATTTTAAAACGTGAGGGCTTCCCCGTGGTGGATTCTGGTGGTGATTTTTGACAAACTACTCCATTTTTGTATTATATTTTTGTAACTTAACAGCTTGTTTACATATATTACAGTCTATTAGGGATGGGAGGTTAAACCCATTTTTAAAGGCATCACATTATAGACATGAAATATTCTCAATTGCGTTTTCAAATGACAAAGATTAAATTTCATTTCATTTATTTATGTCCGTAGCGCTTTACACAACCACGGTGATGGTGACCAAAGTGCTTAACAAAAACAGTAATTAAACAACAAGCTAAATGCAAGAAAAACACAACAAAATAACAAAAAGAAAACCAGAAATGTCAACACATATTTAAGTACTAAAAGCCTGTTGGAATAAAAAAGTCTTACGCTTCGATTTAAAATGGCCAAGTTCAATAAATAATAAATAAACAATAAATTTTGTTATAAATAATCTGTCTGTCCATTCTAAGAGAGTCGGCTGTTAAAATGGAAGCAGTCGGACAGAACTATGTTTTAACATCATTCTTTTTTGTTTTTAGTAATGACTTTGAAATATGTGATTTGTGCGTTAAGCTCCAGTCATAAACACAACGCTAATGGCATTAGCCTTTCTATGGAGTTTACAATGTTAAACGCAGCATCTATGTTAAAGATTCCCATCTCTGCAATCTATTAGATTATTAAAAGACAAAACAAAATGCAGTCATTGAAGAAATACAGTCCTACAGTTTAAAGGTGGTGCGTGATAGTCAATAGTAGAAATAACATATTGCTCAAATCAATTTAAGTCCTTCCCAGATTAAAAAAAATAAAAAATCCTTTGTCGGTTTCATAATGTTTTTACAGAAATGTTCTTAATAGTCTGGTCTGTTTCCTTTGAGGTTTATTGTTGGTGTGCCAATAAAAGCAGCTCTGCTTCAAAAGTTTTGAGGAAGCGCACTGACCCAAGAGTGTTATATTACGTGCTGTCCACAGATGTGCCTGTCTGCTAATCAGCTTAGGATGCTCAGTTCTTGTTAATGACAATTACATTAAAAAAGGCAATAATCGTACCAATGAATCGGCCAACTGTTTAATATTTCTACCTCTATGGAAGGATAGAAAATGCTTTTCTTAAACTTATTAAAATATGAATAAATGTAGCAGCGTTCACTTTTATGTAGGCCTGTTAAATGCACTGTGTCTTTTGTTAAAATACAAATCCATCTAAAGGCACAAAAAGAAAGTTTTAAGGTAGTCTTTGCACCTGACTGTTGTTTTATGACACGTATGAAAAATGCAACCTCCCCTCCTTCTTTTACTGCATAATTGAGATGAATTTACAGCTCAGAATAAAACAGCAGTAACTGCTCTCTTGAGTCGGGTGTGAAGGTCAGACCACCGCTGGGGAGCATAAATGGAAAAGGTTTAGATTTGGTGAAGTAATGACCATGTAGCCACAGGGAATCCCCGAGTAGCAGTGCTGTGTGTGTGGTCTCAAGAAGCAGAGAAGAAGAGCTGTATCCTCTCCCTGCAGAAACTACTGCAACTTTCCTACAAAGTGCGCTGCTGATCCGCGCTCTTGTTTCGGACTGTTTGATTTACTCTGAACCTATAATGAGCAAGAACTCGGAGCTCAATTAGTTTATTTCCCAGGTAGCTCTGTGAGGCTCTCCAGCTAACAGGCCCTGACAATCCTACTGTCGACCTGCACCAGAGCAATTAGAGAACCCAAACACATGCACACTCCCTCACTGGGTCCATCAGACTCCAGCAGAAGCATTAGCCATGTCAGTGCCTCTTCACTGCAGTGGCAGTGTGGCTTTGCTGCTTATTTAATGCCTGAGGGAACACTGAGCACTTCCTCTGTAAAACCAAAACATCTGTCCGTCTCCGAGGTCCGTCAGGAATCTCCTTGTCAGAGGTTTTCACACCTGCTGCTTGATACCTGTGAGGCCAGAGGTGAGGACCTGAACGAGGACGGGCCTTCTCAGAGCACTTGGATGTGTGTGATGTCCTCAGTCAGGCCTCAAACATGCTTCCAAACATTTATAGTCAAAAATGAAATTTCTACTAGTTTTTGGCAGATATTTCAGTATGTGATATACACAATGTCCAAAACATAATTTTGGTTAACATTTTACATAATAGAGCTAAAAATATGAATTAAAGCAAAGCATTCAGGAATAAACATAAAGATATCCAACTGTATCCTTAGAAGTATCCTTACCTTAAATGGTAAATGGACTGTACTTGTATGCACCTTTCAATCTATTCAAGATACTCAAAGCACTTTACATCACAAGCTGTGCCCTCATTATCCATTCATACAGCACTCTACTAGATCTGTACAAAGAATAATCTGAATCTGTAGAGATTAATCGTGCTTTAGATCACATTCATACACTGATGGGACACAGATCGGAGGCAATGAGGGGTTCAGTGTCTTACCCAGGGACACTTCAACATGTGACTGCTGGTGGATTCAAACCCTCGACTCTCCAAATGGAGGATGACTGCTCTAAGCACTCAGCCACAGCCGCCCCCTGCTTAACTTAAATATGTAATGATCTTAGAGTAAATTCAGTCTAGAGCTTTCCCTATCAGCTCAGTAGATGTGGATTTGTGGATTTGCTCTGATTCTCCAGACAAGCTCAGATTTTTTTAGAAGAATCTTTGAAAAGATGTAAATTTTTCCACCCAGATTTTTTATTTTTTTTTGTGTGAACACATTGAAACGTTTAAGAAGTTTAGATAAAGTTAACTAAGTTAAAGTTTAGTATATTCCAGTGTTGACTGGGGTGACTTCATAAGGATTGTTGTACATTGAAGAACATTTTGGTGTTGCAACTTGGTTGTTAAAAAGGGCTTTTTTAAAGTGAAACTATTTATTTTTTAGAGACCTAAATATTCCAGTTTAATTAGAAATTTTAAAAGGTATTGTATGTTCTGTTAGTTAGTTCTACAAAAAAAAACATAATTGAATCAACTAATCAGGGCTTTACAGGTGATGTTTGACATTGTCATTGGTGATGAGGACAAGGAACAGGTGGAAGAGAACCTGGAGAGGTGGAGGTATGCACTTGAAAGAAGAGGAATGAAAGTCAGTCGTAGTAAGACAGAGTCCATGTGTGTGAATGAGAGGGAGGAGGTGGAACAGTGAGGCTACAAGGAGCAGAGGTCACAAAGGTGCAGGACTTCAAGGACTTGGAGTCCACTGTCCAGGAACATGTGGAGTGTAGTAAAGAGGTGAAGAAGTGAGTCCAGGCAGGATGGAGTGATGGAGAAAAGTTTCAGGAGTGATTTGTGACAAAAGGGTGTCAGCAAAGGTCAACGAAAAAGTTTACAAGACAGTGGTGAGGCCAGCTCTGTTGTCTCGTCTGGAGACAGAGACATGGACAAAAAGACAGGAGACAGAGGGTATATTGGTAGAAGGATGTTAGAACTGCAGCTACCAAGAAAAAGACGAAGAGGAAATATATGCAGTTAGAGAGGACATGGAGGTAGTTGGAGTGAGGACAGATAATGACTCTCTGTATCGACCCCGGAAGAGGGAAATGCCGAAAGAATGAGGACTTTACAGAAATTGGACATGATAATCCGTCAAGAAAGCTGCAATTGTTTTATCTTTAGTTATAGTATGTCCATTCAACCCGTATAGAAACATTTTACAAAATCTAAACATCTTTCCTGAAGTTATGTGTCATAAGAAAGGTTCTTGAAGAACATTAGTGGAACTTTGTCTCCTAAAAAAACAATCATCTTTTGAAAGCCTGGTTAATTGTGTTCACTTTAAACAGCACACAACGACACTGGCTTTAATCTTCCATCTTTGCATTTTTCAGGACTTTCCAGTAATGACACGAGAATAAAACACAATGAACCATAAAAGCACCAAGAAACAAACATGCAACAGATGTGCTCGTGCCTTTGTTCGGTCATTGATTTCCAGGAAGTGTTTTTGGTGTTTGACCTCAGACTGATGCTAAATATAAGCACTCCTCTCAGGCGAAGGATATGGTGGTAAAAGTCAATTGTGTCATGACTTTGACCAGCAGAAAGAAGTCTCTGTACCTCCCTGGTTAATTATTTACTTGTCTTGCTTCCCTCTGTTCCCTGACCCCATTGAAGGCCCTGCATAATAAACTGTTTACATAAGATTCACACTTCTCTGTGGTGACTGCTTCCATATACAGTGGCTGGCTGTCCGCGGGAGGACTGGTTGTGTGGTTTTGCACGCTTGCGCTGCGCGTGGGCGAGCATGTTTCTTTTTGATGCACTGTTCAAAGTAGGATGGCATTATTTATTCATGCCTTTGTTGTTCTTACTTCCTCGGCGAGTCAAAAAATTCCTGCCATTCCATTTTAGGCAGATCACGGCTAACTCAGACCGAGTCAATGGTGTCTCAGCTGAATGAGACACGTGCATGAGCACACACATTAAGGAGGTGCAGTCAATAAATCCTCCATCTTGGGTTTTTCTTGTATGGCCCTCTTATATAAGACTCCCCAGTCTTTGGCTCAGCCTTCTCTTATATTTGCCATAGGGCTGATGTGTTGGAGTGTGCTCAGACATTTTTATCAGACCACTGGACATCTTGGGGAAGCAGGTATATTTTATGGACAAGATGTAATTCAAGTGATAACTAGGTGCAAGGGGAAAATATATGTCAACGAAGACCAAACAAATGTGTTGATGGATTTATGGACCCAATTAGTTTTTTCTACTTCTTTAAAAAAGTTTACATCTAGTAGAATCTAGTATTACATGTGACTGAAGGCTTGCTATGAATGCAGTTTCACATATGGGATGAATTCAGTTACAATGGGTCATATTTTGGCTGATAAATTATAAATTTATATTTTGTAATTAGAAGCGTTTAAGTCGGCCCTGTGATGGACTGGAGACCTGTCCAGGGTGTCCCCCGCCTCTCTCACAGTTTCTGGTGGACATGGGCACCAGTGACTCCCGTGACCCGAAAAGGAAGAAGCGGGTAAAAATAATGGATGGATGGATAGAAGTGTTTGTCTCGCAAAGTTCTCTCCTACAACAATAACAAAGAGTTCAGGGAAAATGGGCCAGCAATAAAATCAAAACGCAATAATTAAAGCTGAAATCCTTAAAATTTAAGCTAAAAACACAAAACAACAAAAACATCAAGCCTTTTTATTGGTTCACCAAAGATAACATACCAGTTAATCATCCATCCATTATCTTTACCCGCCTCTTCCTTTTCGGGTCGCGGGGGTCACTGGTTCTCATATCCAGCCATCACTGTGGGACAGGCTGGGGACGCCCTGGACAAGTGTCCAGTCACCTGGACATATAGAGACAAATGAGACACACTCGTATCTAGGGACAGTTTAGAGTTACCAATCAGACTAACATGCATGTTTTTGGTATGCGGGAGGAAACCGGATAAAACCCACGCATGCACTGAGAGAACATGCAAACTCCACCCAGAAAGGCCCCCGGACCGGGATTTGAACCAGCGACCTTCTCGCTGCGAGGCGGCAGCTCTACTAACTGTGCTGCCGTGCCACCAGTAATTCAATTCATGGAATAAAACAAACGTATTCTCTTAATTTTTTTGACTGCACATATTGTGGTGTATTGGTAGATTTGATGTTTCAGTCTTATTTAAAGGTATCATCATTTCACTTGGCAAATGCATTACTCATGTAAAATTTTGCATAATATTCTGAATAATTAACTTTGAACACTGATGATGTTTTACTAAAGGAATAAAGCTGAGACCTTTTCTGTTTAAAGCTGAAGAAAACCACTCCTTCTAGCCCCCTCAGGTCTTCTGCTCCAGGTCTTGGACTTGTTCCACGTTCCATCGGAACACAACAGGATCTCAGACTATAGAACAGTCTTCCATTAGAAGTCAGGGTGGCAGACTCTCTAACCTGCTCCAAGTCACAACTGAAATCTTTTCAAAATGCTTTTGGGTTCATTTAGGTCTAATTTTTACATTAGTTATAAATTTTGCATTGTTTTATTTATTTATTCATCGTGTTTATCTATTATTATTGTAAGTCATTTTATGTACAGCACTTTTTAACACTGGTATTAAAAGATGCTATAAATAAAGTAGAGATGCACAATATTGGATTTTTGGCCGATATGCCGATATGTTAAAACTTATTTGGCCGATACCAGTACCGATGTACTTTTTTCCCCCTAGACCTACTTACAGAGACTACACAGCGTTCTCTGCTGTGGAATTAAAATACTACATTATTCTGCAGGTCTTTGTCAGTTTGGCCTGCCACCAAACGCAGATGCAGAAAAAGGGGCTGGAAATGATGCAACACTTCAGCTTGGATTATGTTTAATGTCAAATCTATTCATGGTATTAACTCTCTCTAACACAATGACAACACTCGAACAGTACAAATTTGTAGATTTTCACAAATCTAAACTCACCGGCGCACGTGACGTCGTAACGTTGTGCTGGTGGTGCAGGCGTCCTTGTCACTGGGTTGTCATATAAAAACACCACCTTTTATATCAGTGAGTTATTTTGATGGAATGGCCGATGTCCGATATTTAACTTTATCGCTATTATCTGCCGATACCGATACCATGCCGATAATATTGTGCATCCCTAAAATAAAGGGTTATTTATGAACTTGGTGCTGCAGATGAACAAGCAGATGTTTTGACTTTCTATGGCTACAAATGAAGCCTCCATGTAAGCCTTCCTACACTGAGCATCTCTTCCACCGAGACATTCCTGTGTGACATTCGGTTCCATTTCGTCATGTTTGTTGTGCGTGGAGGTTGTGGTTCATTGCATGTGCCAAGTTATCTGTTGGGAGAACCAGAGTGAAATGAGCGAAGTATCAAACGGCGGAAGGGGTAGGTTTTTTAGGACGGGAAGCCGTCCCCAAAGGCTCTGCTGTAGTGGATCAATAATTGACTGGCTGGTTGTTTGGCAGGAAGCTCTACAGAAGATCCGACAGAAGAACACGATGCGCCGTGAGGTGACAGTGGAGCTCAGCAGTCAGGGCTTCTGGAAAACCGGCATCCGTTCTGATGTCTGTCAGGTAACACCCATAAACCCCGACACATCCCTGCAACGTCTACACGCAACACTTGAATGCATGAATCGTCTCAGATCTCCACAGAGATGCTCAGGCTTTTCTTCACTGACCAGGATGAAGATGTGTGTGACGTTTACAGTCATCTTTATTTAATAACACTCACTTTTAATCAGTGACGGTTATACAAGTTAACAGGCTGGAAGATGACTTCTTTTTGTTGTTCAGACTTGAAGACAAAGTTTACAACAGTAGAGAATAAAGTCTTCACAGTTTCAAAGCTGTAACTACACAATCAAGCATTTCTGTTTTTTAAGATCGTAAGAAAAAAAAAAGATTGTCAGATTGTAACAGAGTTTCATAAAGGTTGATTTATCTCGTGAGAAACCTTATTGGGTACCACTTTACAGTAAGGCTTCCCTTATGGCTCTCAACAAGGAGTTAAAATTAAAGAAGCATGAGCCAAAAAGATTGTTGTCTGAAGTTTCTATCAAAAAATGTTGGGCTGAAATGGTTTTTGTAGGCCGCCTCCCCATATAGATGGCTAATAAATCATTTGTAGATACGTTATTAATTCCTCTATAAACACTTTATGAATCATTAATAACTGCTTATAATGCATTAATTAAGAGGGATAGAGACAAAAATAACCAGTTTGTTGCCAAATCTGTTCACCTATATATTTCATTTAGAGTAGTTATATTAAACATTTCAGACTAAGTTACTACCTAGTAAACACAATAATCATGTGTAAACCTATTTCTTTAGCATATAATATTGTATTTTATCACTGCATTATAAGTATCTACAATATTATATCCTAAAAAAAAAAAGGTTTACAAATGCTTATTGTGCTTACAAGGTAGTAACTTAGTGTGAAATGTTTAATATAACGACTCTAGATGAAATATATGGTGAACAGATTTGGCAAGAAACTGGTTAGTTTTGTCTCTGTCACCCTTAATGCATAATAAGCAGTTACTAATGATTCATAAAGTGTTTATAGAGGAATTAATAATGTATCTATAAATGATTTATTAGCCATCTATAAGGGGAGCCTTATTCTAAAGCGGTAGCCTTTATTGACACATAAAGGTGTTTTGGGACTGCAAAAACCATTTCAGTCCAATATTTTTTGTATTAAACTTCAGACAACAGTAATCTTTTTGGCTTATGCTTCTTTCTTAATTTTAACTCCATGTTGATTGACCAACCACAACTGACCCATACGGTTTTAAATAAAAGTGTAGATATTGATACAACTTTCACCTGTAGTTGCTCAACAACTCCAACCAAACACGCTGACCAGCTCTGCAGCGTGAGCTTTATTGAGCTCGTGTGTCACTGAGAAAACATGGATTTTTACTCGTTCCAACCAGTGGCTGACTGCTAACGCTAGTTCATTATTCCTGTCAGTGATGCGAATACAACAAGAGACAAAGGCCTCATAGGTATGAGGTTCTCTGGGGAGCTCACTAGTTAACCCTCAGAGAGCAACTAGAAGTGTTTGTCAGAAACAATCTGGGGATTTTAAATCATGCCCTGCTGCTTGCGGGGATCAGAATCTCCACAATCTAAACACTCACATGGACTCTAAACTGACATAAAATGTTCTGATATTGATGCTTCTGTTACTAATAAAAGGTACAGTTGTACAGTGGTGCTTGAAAGTTTGTGAACACTTTATAATTTTCTATATTTCTGCATCGATATGACCTAAAACATCTTCAGATTTTCACACTAGTCCTGAAAGTAGATAAATAGAACCAGTTAAACAAATGAGATAAAAATATTATATATTTATTTATTGAGGACAATGATCCAATGTTACATCTTTGTAAGTGGCAAACGTATGTGAACCTTTGCTTTCAGGATCTGTAGTAGACCCCCCCTCTCCGTGCAGCAATAACTACAACTAAAAGTTTCTGGTAACTGTTGATCAGTCCTGCACTCCGGCTTAAAGGAAGTTTAGTCCGTTCCTCCGTACAGAACAGCTTCAACTCAAATGTTGGTGGTTTCCTCACATTAACTGCTGCTTCAGATCCTTCCACAACATCTGGATTGGATTAAGGTCAGGACTTTGACTTGGCCATTCCAAAACATGAACTTTATTCTTCTTGAACCATTCGTTGGTAGAACAACTTGTGTCATTGTCTCACTGCGTGACCCACCTTCTCTTCAGATTAAGTTCTTGGATAGATGTTCTGACATTTTCCTCTATAATTCTGATATAGTTCAGAATTCATTGTTCCATCAATGATGGCAAGCTGTCCTGGTCCAGATGCATATAAACAGGCCCAAACCATGTTACTACCGCCACCATGCTTCACAGATGGGATAAGGTTCTTATGCAGGAATGCAGAGTTTTCCTTTCTCCAAACATAACACTTTTCATTGAAACCAAAAAGTTTTATTTTGGTCTGATCCGCCCACAAAACATTCTTCCAACAGTCTTCTGGCTTGTCCACGTGATCTTTAACAAACTGCAGACGAGAGGCAATGTTCTTTTTGGAGAGAAGTGGCTTTGTCCTTGCAGCCCCGCCATGCATACCATTGTTGTTCAGTGTTCTCATGATGGTGGACTCATGAACATCAACATTAGTCGATGTGAGACAGACCTTCAGTTGTTAGAAGTTACCCTGGGCTCCTTTGTGACCTCGCCCACTTTTCCACTCCGTGCTCTTGGAGTGATCTTTGTTGGTCCACCACTCCTGGGGAGGGCAACAATGGACTTGAGTTTCCTCCATTTGTCCACAATCTGTCTGACTGTGGATTGGTGGAGTCCAAACTCTTTACAGATGTTTTGTAAACTTTTCCATCCTGATGAACATCAGCAACTCTTTTTCTTGAGCTCCTCAGAAATCTCCTTTTGTTCGTGTCATGATCCACTTCCACAAACATGTTGAGCAGACTTTGATAGATCCTGTTCTTTAAATCTAACAGGCCGTCCACTCACACCTGATCATCATCCCATTGGTTGAAAACACCTGACTCTAATTTCACCTTCAAATTAACTGCTAATCCTAGAGGTTCGCATACTTTTACCACTCACAGATATGTAACACTGGATCATTTTCCTCAATAAATAAATGTCCAAGTATAATATTTTTGTCTTAATTTATTTAACTGGTTTTCTTAAATCTACTTTTAGGACTTGTGTGAAAAGCTGATGATTTTTAGGTCATATTTATGCAGAAATATAGAAAATTATAAAGCATACACCAACTTTCAAGCACCACTGAATTGTGGAATGGGGTTACCAGCATTATTGTAGCTGGTTAACCCCAGATAACAACTAGAGCTAACATTCCTAGAATGAATTCATATCACCTGCTGTCTTCCAATGCCCATTTTAAACTCTTTCCTTGAGAAGTTATTGTAGAGCAGTTTTGGTCAAACTGAAATTAATTTTATAGAAGATCTCATGCTCATCAAATTGTAACTCAATATCCGTTGACTTTGGTGGCCATCTCGAATTGGTTTGGCTTAGTAGTACACCCAAAGGTTGCTTTGTGAAAGTTTCCTTAAAATCCACCCAGTGGTTCATGACATATTTTACTATCACACAGGTCAACAAACATGTACAAAGATGTAAAAACAAAATAAGTCAAATAATTGATTGGAAAATCTAGAAGTGAGTGTGGAAAGCAGGTAGAAACCCTTTTCTTTAACAAGATAACTGAGAGAGAAACGAGAGCCAAAACTGCAAGGGAAGAAAAGAACCCTGAACAATCATCTATGTTGAACGTCTCTGTATGTGCAGCTCCTCTCAAGCTGACAGAAACTTCGCCTCTGATCTCTCATCTCGCTGCATCACTTCTCCATTCAAGTGTCAGAATGTGCATGAGCAAAGTGGACTCCCGCCGAGATGCGGCGCTTACACCGTTCATCAAGTAATGACTTTGACTTGACACTTTATTTACATACAGCTGCACGCAGGCGCAGCCATTTACCAGCAAAAACAAAAGGGGGCGGGAGTTTATTGTCATCTTTCTCTGGATTCCAGGGGAATATTTCAGGTCGTGTTCTGATGCATGTGCGCTTGTAATTTAGCACGTGCAGCCTTAATGAGAGTCGAAGCGTAAACGCCACGCTGTGCGCATCCAAACATACAGTGTGTGTTTGTCACTGTAATGGAATCCAACAGCACGCAGTTGCTTCTTTACTATACTTTAATTTATTGTCAATTCCAGTAATTTTGGCCTCTTACTCAGAGGATAATTGGCGTTGGCGCCGCACGTCTTTTTCTCCGAGTGCATCCCCCTTCGCTGTCTGCGCTGGAGATGGCCCACAGCTGATACTCTGCCTCACATTTGCAGAGAAATGACTGAAAGTTTTAGCCTGGCAAGTCAGACCTCTCTTACAGCAAGGTCTTGCGAAGAAGAATCCGATCCATAATTGCTGTCCAATTATATTTGCTTCAAGCTGTACTGCTGCGACTAATTGCTTCATGAATAATTTCAGTTCAAACTCCAGCGCTGCACTCTGCACGCTGCGTGACACAGACAGGAGATGGCCACTAAAAGTGACCCCACTTTTTTTATTTTGTCCTGAACCTCTCAGCTGTGCCAAGGTTTTTGGTTTGAAAGGGTTTATTTTGACTCATACAGATGTTTTATTTTTCCCTCTGTGTTTTTCTTTATCTTTCTCCTCTTATCACGTGGGCGTTAAGGCCATCGAGTGTCCAAAAACATTTAAAAATAAGTGTTTTTATACTTGTGGGTAAGAAATTACCCTTTTCTTAACACTAAATAACTAAATACATGCCTAGTTATTAAATGCTCTGCGCAATAAGGACATGTGGATGTGAATTTAAAATAATTAAAGCAAATAAAAATAACAGGACAGACACTTTTATTTAGTTAAATAATTTCATAGAAGTCAGTTAATTACTTCTGGAATGTCTAAGTGTCTGTTTTCCTTACTTTTATTCTCATATATTTAGGTGAATGAATATAGTTTTCTGACAGTCTGTAAAACCAAATACCAGCACTAGTTTCACACTGAATCATTGTTGTACCTGTTAAATGTTGCTGATTTATTAATATTCATCCACCCCGTTTAAATGTAAGACCTGTGAAATAATAGTTAGAAAGTAAAAATCAAAGTGGAAAGTTTGCGTTCCTTTGAATTTTGTAAGTGTAGAAATACAAAATGATAATTTGCTTAAATACATATAAACAGACTGTAGAGAAATAATTCCTTTTTTAAAAGAAATGGTAGTGTCACCGGTACTTTCTAACTTACTCAACTTGGACTACTAGAATAAAAAAATAAATATAACACTAACAAAGTCTAACAAATCAAATACTATCTACAACTCTGTTTGAATGCTCTTTAACAAATGAGCTGCAGTTTTACTAAATTGGACATTTGCATATTATTCCATGCAGCATCTGTGCATATCTGTGACAATATATTTGTGAATACTTTGCTTGTTTACGCAATATAAAATATGTGCATACTCCAAATCTGTAGCATTGTTGCCCCTTGTAATTCAAAAGTACATATTACTCTTAATTTATTTTATTTTAGTGTTTAATAATAAAATAACTTGCAAATTAAGATTTCATTGGCAACATAACCCCAGTTTTGAATCAGTAAACTCGTCTACTTGCTCACCTATTAATTTCTTTTCTTACGTGCCTATTTATCTAATTATCATCTCTGCTGACATGAAAGGCAGGCAATTATATATTTGGTTGCATCTGTGCACGTGTTTGTTTGGTAGCAAAGTATGTCATGAACTACTGGACAGTTTTTTATGAATTTCAAAGTAATCGTTGGATGAACATCTACAGCTGATTAACTTCTGCTGTCGATCTGATTCTGAATGTCCACAACAGCTAATCAGCCTTAGCAAACACAAAATTACTATGATGCAATCCTTTTTACACATATTTAATAAAACTTTAGTGCGGTAGTGGGTGACAGCCATTTACAACACATACTTTGAGTGCTATCAGATTTCCACGTGGGAACAGTTTTTGTCAATACATATGTTGTTGTTGTTGTTGTTGTTGTTGTTGTTGTTGTTGTTGTTGTTGTTTTGTCATTTGTCCAGTCTGGCATCCATCCAGAAACAGTTTGTAGCCTTTAAATGGTTTCTTTCAAAACTGGGTTCTATGTGAAAATCTTGAAATGCCACTCTTGCATTTTTGTGTAAACAGTCCAAAGCTAACTTATTTAAACATTTATCATAAATCCACCCCTAATCTAACCTACAACCCTAAAAGGAACAGGCATAACATCAGTATTGACAGATTACGTGCTTGCATTTGAGCTTCAGTCACTAGTGTCGTAGCGGCTGTAAAATCTTTGTGTACAGTATTTCTTTAATAACCAACGAGGCTGACCCACTGTAACACTGTCTTAAATAGAACAGAGCAAAAGAACATTATTATTCCTTAACATGAAATAAAGCCAAACATTATTTAGTCACGTTACTACTCTGTCAGTATTACAAAAAGTACTCTACATTACACATCAGTTATACATTTAAATAACTTGGTAAATGGGGTTAGCATTAAAAGACTGATTCTTGTGCAAACATAGTTTACTTAGACATTGTGAGGAAAATGCCTTCGTCAGCTGTCTCTTGTTGAATACTGTTCCACAAAAGTGTATTACGTCCATGGACTTGAACTCCCAGTCACCACTTACCGTCCGGCAACAACAGTGCAAATCACACAATGTTGTACAAAACGCCCCCAAACTTAAATTTCCCCAAATTTATTGTAATCTAAATATTTTGTTAGTTTTCCATTTCCAAACAAGCCTGTTGTCATGATTGGAAAGTTAAGTAAAAATTCTGAAAGTTACTTTACCACCACTTTATTTAAAAAGCACTTAAAAACAGAAACAAGGCCAACCAAGTTGCTGCACAATAAAACAAATGAACAGAAGGCACAGGATAAACTACACACATCAACAGAGGTAAAAAAGAAAGGAAACAGTTAGAATGTCTAAGGTCTAGATTAATACAAGATCATCAGCCCACTGGGTCAAAAACCAGGGAATAAAACTGCGTTTCTAAACAAGACTTCAAAACTGAGTTCAAAACAGAGGGAGCTTGCCTAACATATAGTGGCAAACCATTCCACAGTTTTCCACCTGCAACAGAAAAAAGCTCCATCACCTCTGAGCTTGCATTGTGTGCGTGGAACCATTAAAATCATCTGATCTGCTGACCTCAGAGCTGCGGTACAGATGGCCACAGCAGTTCAGAGAGCTAAGAGGGCACAGAACTGTTGAGAGATTTAAAAACATACAACATAATTTAAAAAAATGAACTCAGAAATGAACTGGAACCTATTGCAGGGAAGCCCAAACTGGGGAAATATGTTCTCTTTTGCCAGTACCAGTTAAAAATCAGGCTGCAGCATTTTATTCTAGTTGCAAACGAGCAAACGTCGTTTGACTAATTCCATAAGAAAGCGCCTGGACTCACCGAGAGACATCAAAGTTTCATTCATGCAGAGGAAGTCCAACTTGTTCGTGGTAAAATAGTCCCTCAGGATAAAAGTGTGTGTTCACCGTTCTTGCGTTCACCATACAGGACCTGAAACCAACAGTAGTAGCAAGGAAGATTAAAGATTTGCACCTCACTGGCATCATCAGCGTGCTTAGGGATACAAAGGTAAACTCCCTTGATCCGTGCCAACAACCTGTATCAGACAAGATTCAGCAGGGTCCCGTAAATGGCACCAAACAGAAAGATGATGTTCGGGTCCACATAAAGCATGAAAATCCTTCCAACCCACCACACTTTCCTGTCTTTTCCTCGATTACGCTTCCTCTAGGAAAGTGTACCTGGAGCTCAGTGAAGGAATGCCAGAAAATAAGACTGGAGAAGAAACTAACTGTTGGTGATTAACCGAGCCGGCATTTCAGAAAACCAACACAGTTCCAATAGGATTAGCTCATATGCTAGATGTCAGTAAACATTCTGTATAACACTTAAATAAAAACGACAGAAGTAGAAACGGAGCTGAGAGCGGCGGCTGGAAAGTCCTACACATCTGTGCCATCTTGAAGGGCAAAGGTTCATCCATTATATCTTCCAGAAAGAATACTTTTCCAATACAATGTGTAATCCTTCAAATACTTTAACTAAATCATAAAAAAAATCATAATTATGCCCACTTTGATTTTAAATGTAAGATACAAATCAATGAGACTAAACCATCAAATTATGTGGTAAAATATACCATTGTTCTACTGTATTTACACTTGATTTATTTTAGCCAAAATATTATAAGGGGTTAGATCAGATTATTAAGATATTCAGGCTGTTGGTCTGGTTGGATGGTGTCCAAAATATCCAAATGTGATTTGTGATGGTAAATTAGAACTTTCTCACCTTTTAATTAGTGGAGTATCAACTCCAACAAGCCCCCACCTGGCCTTTCTGTTCCCACACATTTGCTCAGTCACTCATCAGAGCAGGTCCGGAGCAGCAGACTCGACCAGGGCCTGCCTTTGTTTAATTGGCTGCTTAACAAGGCCTGGGGACTGTGTCACCGCGGCCCCAGCGATGGCCCCGGGGCCGTGCGGCCACGCTGCTTGTACCCGCTGGGCTTCAAGCTCCCCAACAGCACTAATTAAAACATGCGTAGCTCCATCGTCTCCAGTGTGGTGGCACGGGGTTAATGTGTGTACACCAGCCCGGGCTACACTTCCTCAAACATGATGAGCCTCCAGTAATGATTCTGTAGATTGGCTCTCCAAGTCATTTGCTGACCGCTAGCTGTTTTCTCTCCACAACTCCTTCACCTGCTCCTCCTCCCCCTTCACTTTCTGCCTACTTTGTTGAAACTTTTTCCTTTCATATGTGAGGGTCAGAAGGGCCTGTCAGTGTTTGTACAAAGGTAAGCATGTCAGGTTGTCAGAGAGGACTTGGATTCAACTGTCCTGTCCAAATGTGAGTTTCCCTCCCCTTCTCTGTCATTCCCTCTCGCACTGCAGAAATTGGCTTTTTGATTATTTCATCTCTGTGTTGCAGAGCTCCTCTTAATAAATAATGACGGGCTGATTGATTTTTTTTTTCCCCCCTTGCTGTTCCCTACAACCACCCTTCTTCTTCATCACGTTTTCTATCAGAACAGGTTTCCTTCACTCTTCTTTCATACGAGACATGATCCTTACTTTTCTATTCTTTCTGTCATCCAACAGCATGCCATGATGCTTCCCGTCCTTACCCACCACATCCGATACCACCAGTGTCTGATGCACATGGATAATCTGATTGGCTACATCTTCAAGGACCGCTGCCTCCTTCAGGTAAGACCCAGTGATACACGGCTACATGCACATCCAGAGCTGCATTATTTACAGGCTGGCATTGTTGATGGCTCCGTGTTCACGTATTCATTGGCTGGTTATTGGAATTGGACACATTTCTAGATGGACTACCCATCCCTTACATGAAACAAACAAACAAGCAAACTTTGTAGACAGTGATTTTAACACCAGATGAAGATGTTAAGAATTCAAATTGTGTTCAGACTGACAAATAAAAAATTCAGTGTTTGATTTAATTTATAGGTTTACCATGCATGGATGTGGATGGATGTGGATGGATGTATAGATGGATGGATGGATGGTCTGTAACTATGTGACAAGATTTGAGAGAATTGGGAATATGGAGTAGGAATGGGCAAGAATACTGTTCAAAATGATTGAGTTTTGTTGACCCCGTCAGTGTCGCACACACTGAGTGACAGGTATTCGTGCTTCAATGAAGAGTGCTTTAACTAGAACTTTTCAAATTTTTCGGAAGGTGACCAGAATCTGTCAATTTCCTGTTTCACAGACTTTACCTGACTGTCCTTTCTTACGCAGGTTTTTTATTTGTGTGTGTGTGTGTGTGTGAATGCTTCAGATGTTGAAAATAAAGTCAAAGGAAACAAACTTGAAACAAAAGGCATTTTATTTGACACAATTATTTTTTGTGAAATAATTGTTTCATCTTATTTGATGGATCCTGATGTGTTACATGTGTGGCATCAAGACTGATCCTCCATACGTCCATCCATCAAGTGTCTTTACCTCTTTCCTGTTTTCTGGGCTGTTGGGTCGCTGGTGCCCATACCCATCAGTCACTGTGTGAGAGGCGGGGGACGCCCGGGACAGGTCTCCAGTGTGTCACAGGGACACAGAGACAAATGAGACAACACGACCATTCTCTCTCTCTCACTCACACCTACAGACAATTTAGCGTTACCAATCAGCTTTGTTTGGCCTGGTACTGTAGTACCCTGAGAAAACCCACACATGCAAACTCCATTCAGAAAGGTTCCTGCTTGGATTCTACCCAGCAACCTTCTCGCTGAAAGCTGACAGCTCTACCAACTGCACCACCGTGCCATCAAGATTGATCCAAGATGGGTGGGGGTGCAGCGGGCAAGGAAAGCGGTAAAGCCTGAATAATTTAGCTTAGGGATGAATAAATGGCGTTCGTTTTACCTCCACAACCTGTTCCTCTGTGTTGTTTCTTACTTTACTGTAAGATCTTTTTTAATGTACCGATTAATATGTATATATATGTGTATATATATGTATATATATATTTATATATATGAGAGAAGGAGAGAGAGTCAGAGCTTGTTATGTACAGGAATTCACGGAGGCAGAATTCCCCTCATTACAGCTCCCAGTCCACCCCTGCTCGGATTGTTTAAGAGGTAGCATGGTTTTAGGAGTCAGCTGGGCTAACACGCACACACTGGCCTGAGTTTGTTTCTGTGCAGCCTGACTCAAATCTGACTTGCAGTGACAGTAGTCAGGACAACAACATCCTCCTCCGTAATGCCAGCTCTCCCCTGTCAGGTCTGCAGCCTCAAGCTGAATGCTCTCAGAGAGCAAGGCCCCCTCCCAGCTGCCTGCAGCAAAATTGAAGAGCTGTCATAAGTTGATACATTAGAAATCAATGTGTTGTAGCCTATACATAGTTAATAGAGGAAGGATGCATTAGGATTTGCTCAAGGCTTTGTGTGTGTGAGTTTGTGGATGTGGATTTGCTTGTATTGATCAGAGATTGGCCTGTTTGTTGTTTACATAATGACGACCTGTCTTTACGAGTGCTAAAAAGGAAACGCCAACTCACTGTGAGGCCAGCTGCTGGCTGACAAGTCGATCCTTTTCCGTTGCTGAGAGTTTGCAGCCTCTCATTTATTCTCATATAAACGACAAACAAAAACTAAAACAAAAAGTCATTTTGACACAGCAGCTCATGTTCTGGTCTCTGCCGAGTGCGCTGCCAGTCTGCATCGCTATTCTGCCCACAGAGGTGTTGATGCCATGACATCGTTGTTTGTTTGTGTGTGTGTGGACAAGAGCAGGGCTGTCAACAATTCACTGATATCGCTACTGAAATGACCCGAGTAGGGAGCCATCAGAGCTGGGCTTACAACACCTCCCTCATATACAGCAAACACACACACTCATAAAAAGAAACGCACACACACACACATTATGTCCGGATAGATTTGGACAGAATGGCTTCAGGAGTGCAGTGCTGCTCGCTCAGACATTCCTCTCAAACTCGTCACGTTTCACGTCCACCATCACTTCTCATTTGGCTCCACTCTGATGGGCTGATCGCGTTTAATGAGATGAATGTTTTTCAGTGACAGTCTACTCATTAAACATGAGAGAATCTAGTACCACTCTTTGATTGCACTGCAAATGATATGTGCTTTGATAGAGGGTTTGTGTGCTTTGAATTAAGCCATCTACAATTGTCTATAATTTATGGATGGGGAAAACTTTTTGAGCAACGGCGTTCTTTAAAAGATTTTTTTCCCTAAAAATCTGTATTAAAATAGAATTTTTGATTCAGTTTTTCACAAACCCGAGGCTTGACAGCCGGCCGTGTTGGCTGCACACTGGTTTAGATCACACAGGAGGGAAACATGGAGTTAGTTAAACTTTATGTGGGTTTTGAACAATAACATTACTAGCTTATATTTGATATGTTTCTTTGAATACTTCTTTTCTGAATTAAGGTTGCTGTATTTCAGAAAGCATCCTACATTACACACTTCGGCAACGTTTGAGTAGATTAATACCAACCTCTTTTGTTGTGAGCATGAAAACAAAAAAAATAGACGCGGTACTGATTTCCATTCTGCTGAGTGGCTACATCTAGGGTAAAAAAGGTTCTTTTAAAAATTGGGTTGCCACGTCAAAATCCAACATGGCTGCTATCATTTAAATAAACTGGCCACCCTTATCATTTGAGGAATCTCTGCTTTCTGATTTTTAGATTGCCTAAACTTATAGTTTCCTCAATTGATTGAGGGCTGAAGATTAATCTTTGGTGGCCTAGGCCACTGTTGGCCTTTTCCTGATTCCGCCTATTTGTGGATAAAATTTCTCCCTCCGTTGTGCATCGATCCACTTTTTTCATTTCTGATACGTGATGTTAAGTATCTGTCAATACCAATCCAATACCGATCCAATACCGATCTGATACAGAAAGTGCTGAATTTCATTCAACAAACTCCGCGTGCTCTTTAGGGTGAAATCTCTGGAGATGCTTGATTAAGTTGGTGGTGGTATAACTGCAAGTTTTAGTGCCATCCCTTGGAACCGTCGCTGTGCACGTATTGCACGTAGCTGTGGAATGTGTTGGCGGAGGTAATGTGAAATAGTTCCAGATGGCTGATCCTTTCAGGTTCTCCATTTTGAAAACAATGTGCAGTGAGTTCGCTAGTGCGTGATGTCACTCAGAGCACAAAGCACAGAATTAGAGTGAATAGATCTGCCCAGTCATGGATCGGTCACATTGTCACCGATACCCGATCCAGAAGGTTTTTTTCTATATCAGGACCAATACCGATATTGGTATCGGATCGGTGCATCTCTACCCTCCACTCGCCAGGATCTGTCACTTTGTGCTGCCTCAAACAAGCATAAAAATAAAATTTAAAAAATACCTCTGTTCTTATACACATTGTAAATCCTACCCACTAGAATACTTTGCATTAATAACAAACATTAAGGTTCACTTGCATTCTCTGTCCAATTACAGTCCAGAAAAACGTTCATTTTGAAAACTAAAAGCATTCACTATTCAGATTCCTCAGCAACGGGAAACATCAGCGTACCGCTTGTTCAACTATAAAGTATCATTAGAAAGGAGTTTTAGTCAAGAGAGTTAAGATAATTGCATTCACACAAACAACAACATAGAATATAAAAGCTATAAAACAAAAATTATTTAACCAAAACATGTTTACATACTGAAGGCATAGACTTATGGCTTTATATGAGTATACTGTAGTCCCTCACTACTTTGCGGTTTATTTTTCGTGGACTCGCTCTATCACAGTTTTTCAAAACAAGATTGGACATGACACACAATTGGCTGATTGATGGATGAGCCGCACGGTCGGCATGGATTTTTTTATTTAAAATAAATTATTTTAAATTTAGCACCTGCTGCACCTTTGTGCAGCCCAGCTGCAGGAGAAGCTGCAGTGTGTCATATGTGTCCGCTCTGCAGCGGAGAAGTGGGCGTGGCCGAGAGCACTGGCAGAGTGCAGCCGGAGACAGAGAGCTGATTTCATGACATGCTGTGCTCTTTTAGAGAGTTTAGAGTTAGAAATATCGTTTGAATATTGCAAGAGTGTGGGAAGGGTTTAAAATGCTTTAAAATGTATACAAAAGTCCTCGCTACTTCATGTTTTGTTTATCTCAGACTCGCTCTATCACAGCTTTTCAACGCGAGATTGGGCATGACACACACTGGGCTGATTCAGGATCAGAATAAACTTTATTATCATTGTACCGAGATACAAGTATGTCCGTACAGTCGTCTGAAGGATGGGCGGAGTGCACGCAGCTGCTGCTCTTTAAGAGCGCAGCCTCTTATCCATTTCAGAACATTTTTAGCTTTAGATGAGAAAAGGGAAGAAAACATGAAGAGAGAAGGTATAAAAAAAAGATCTCTCACACCGTGTCCTAGACTGGGCACGGTCTGAGGCATCAAAAGATCTACCACAGCAAAGCAACATAAGTAGACATAATACATATGAGACCGGTGAAGACATTGAGTTTTAAGGGAAGGTCTTAGCATAGTCCAGATCCCCCCTCAGCCATTGTCCAGATCAGAGGTGTTTGTTATCATCCAGCTCGGTTGAGGTTCTGTCACATGTCCACAGTCTTTGGGAAAGAAGGGGTGAGGAGACAGACGGAGCGTCTTTGTTTTCATAACATCCCAGGAGGAATTGAGATAGTCCGCCTTCAAGGCCAGATCCAGATCCACAGTTTGGATC